AATTTTTGGTATGGTGGCAGCCGACACTTCTCTACCGACACCGTCGGTCGAGTGGTGCACTCGTCGACGTGTGGTGTATTTGGCCGACTGCACCCCAAAATTTCTGGCAGAAATTAGTTCACACAGAAAATGCGCCTTCTCAGTTATAAACGTTCTCTGCTGATACTACCTGTTTAATGTTCCTTGCTTGTATGTATGCACAATACTTGAAACCTCAAAAAAATTTTGAATCAATTTGTTGCATAACTTTTGAGTTATAGATGTTTTAATGAAAAAAATATTAAAAAGAAGTCAGTTTTTTTATGTAATTTTAAAGAGGTGAAAAATTAATTATGTCATAACTTTTGAAGCACACCATATACTGGTTTAAAATTTTATGTGCAGTCAGTACTTACGTGTACACTTCATCTGAAGTAGGTAACTATAGTGTGCTTTAAAAAATAACTATATGGCAAGTAACTCCAAGTGCACATCTCTACTTTTCACAAGTTTCACACTTTTCGGTTTATCGCCTACAGCTTTCGAAACATTTAATTCTAAAAACTTTTAAAGTATGTATTGTGTTTTGCAACAATTACGAATAATTTGATACCAAGAGGTGTGCTTTCAGAATAAACCAACTTTTAAAGATGAAATATTCAGCGATCGTGAGCGTAATTTTTATTCCTAAAACATCTTAATTGAAGGCACATTTGGAAAACGCTGATTTGCTTTTTGTAATAAGAATCATTCTTGTAGTCAGAATATTTCGAGCGAGGTAACAAACCAACTTCTTTAGGCAAAGGTTGTGATAGTTGCCCCTACTTAATTGCAGCCTTCTAAACTGAATAGCGTCTCCTGTTTTGCCAGATTGGCTCCAATTTTCGAGATAGCGGTACTTGAAACTTTGCTTAAATTTTAACTATTTTATAAATATCTTCCATCAGTTTTAAAGTTATCTTACTAAAATTTTGTACATGACCATTTTTTAATATTACCTCAACTATTGCATAAAATCATCGAAAGTGGTTCACTATAACATGTAACTGCCATACAGCTGGTTGTTAAGGGACGTTGTTTTGCGTTATAACTCCTCCAGTTAAGCAGGTAAAAAATTTATTTTTATTCATCATAAACACTGTTAACTTTCTCTTTATGACGAAGTTCGAGGCCAAACAACATATCTGAATAATCAGTTGTGTGGAAGCTATTTGTTAAAGTGAGCGTATTTCGATGATTTTCAGAGTTAGTTAAGGAAATATTAAAAAATAGTCATTTGTAAATTTTTAGTAAAATAACTTCAAAACTGAGGGAGTTATTTATAAAATAGCTAAAATTTAATCAAATTTGCAAGTACCGTTATCTCGAAAACCGGAGCAAATCTAGTAAGTCTGAGGATGCTATTGAATTTAGAACATCCCAATTAAGGGAGTTCAACTTTCAAAATCTTTGCGTAATTTGAACCAAACTTATTCTTTTGTTTTCTATTTCAGGGATCTAAATATTTATTCCTCGTCTAACGTTTGAAGCACTTGATGAAAATGAATAACACTTATATCTAACGATTTATTAAGAGATTACGAATAGAATCGTATATAAAAAATAGGTGTGCCCACAAATAAAAAAATTATACTTTTTTGTTTTAAAGTGTACCTGTTTTTTAGGTTTTGCCATATATGTGACCGACGATTTATTAGCTCTTGATTCGCCAAAAAAGCGAGAAATGAAAAACTACCTCTGGATTTAAGAGCATTTTCCACTGCGAAAAAAAATCTTACATTTTGTAATAAATTTATAGCGATTTGTTTGTATACCTTTCATGAGCATGAAATGGTATTATAACTTTGGTCCGATGTTTGTAAGTACCAGAATAATAAGAGATAGAGGTGTTAAAATGTAAACTTAAATGATCATAACGTCGAGCTGAGTCGATTGAGCCACGTACCAGTTTATGCGATATATCTGCTTTATGTAGGAAACTAAACCCATTAAATTGTGTTACCGGTTTATATACCGATCACACAGCAGTGGAAATCACTTAGATTGGTGCTATATAAGGTATATCTGCCATACCTCTGATTGTTTAGATATGATTTTTTTATATATGTAACCTTTCTATCTATGTATGCTGTGAATATATAAATTTTTTAAAGTGCAGTCATCTTTTAAAGTAAAATTTTCAGACGTTCGTGAAAGGTATGAAGCCAACGGCATAACTGAAGACAGCGCTGCTCCTATTTGTTTTTTTTTCTAAAAAAAAACACTTAAAACGAAGTAGAGTCTTGTGTTAAAAATATATCGTGTGTACAATTACATAATTATACCTGAGCGCACTTGTGCACAAAGATATTATAACATTGTTCGCTTAACGGTTGTTTGTAACAGCCTAAAGGGATCGAGATAGATACAGACAAATGTATATGTAAATAATCAGAATGAAAAGAGAAGTCGATTAAGTCATGTCTGACCGTCCGTCCATCTGTCGGTTTGTCCGTCCGTCCGCCCGTGTACACGATAACTCGAGCAAAAATTGAGATATCTCAACGAAATTTTGTGTGTGGGTTGCCCTTTATCCAAGGTAGGTTGGTATTGAAAATCGGACTGTAACCACGCCACTTCTCATATCACGGTATTTTGGAAAAATGCAGGAACTGCGATATTTCAGTAAAGAATGGATCCAATTTGGAAATTTGAAAATTAGTATGTCAAGTAGAATTTTGGTACAAAATAATATTATTATGAAACTTTTGGAAAAGGGACGTGACCCCGCCACTTATGATGAAATACTGTATCTTAGTAACCGCTTTACCAATCCTTACCAAGCTCGGTAGGAGCAGAAAATTAGATTATAATAAATTTTCGTGGCGCCACCCACTTATGATTTATCACTTTCTACGAAAATCGGTATACTTTATTACCTTGGTACGCTGAATATTATTGAAATCGGACTAAAATTACACTCGCTTCCCATATATCGTTAAATTTCAGATATTTCAATAATTGAGGATGCTCATTTACTCCAAGTTAGTACTTTCAACACTGTCATAGACTTTAAGGTAGTTTAGATAAAATTGGAACGACGATATTGATACCTGCGCAGGGTATATAATATTCGGTTTCGCGGGAATTTATACTTCTTTACTTCTTATTAATTATGTTTGAGTGGAATAAATTTATATTAAAACATTTTGTTTTACAATTTCTTTTAAATACGTGCGTTTTACCTGTAGCATTTTCCCAGTGTACATCAGATAATGGAATGCGATGCTGTTTTTGTGGTTTTATGTATACTCACATTAAAAACGGGGGATGAACGGATACCAGCGCAAAGCGTGCAGTGCTTGCAAATATCGCCACCACAAGTGAACGATCATTATAACAGACAACATATTTAGTATGTTCCTTTGAACTTCGGACTAAAACCTGTGGAACTTTCAAACTACAATTTTACTCTCTCAAGTGGGAGTAAAAGGAGAACAGATGCAGAAGCGTACTGGAACGCAAAAAGCACTATTTCCTGTAAAAACGTCAGTTGGTTTGTTTACATGTCATTGGTACAACACTGTTTTGGCTGAAATATACTAAATAATTAATTAAATCTATACATACTTAAATATTTCGTTGTATAAATACTTATGTTTTTTAACAAATAAAGGTTCTTTGCTTTCACCGCGTTCTGTTTTTGCTTACAAATGCAACCTTGCCCATCGTTTGTCACTTTTCATGAACTTGCAGGAAAAAAACTCCAGACTAAATCCTGTAACTTCTGACTAGGAACAGGTGCTCAGTTACTCTCTCAAAAGTGTTCCCACTTACAGGTTTTATTTCTATAGGAACGACAGGAAGTTCTGACTAAATCCTGTAAACCGGGCTGCTATTGGAACAGACTGACTGATATTGACTTCGGCAAACCAGTATTCCGACTGCCGAAAGCATGATACTGCTTTGAACTGTTGACGAAAACATGAAGCCTCATTTGAACGGTTGGCTAAATCAAGACGCCGCAGTTGAACGGTCAGCGAAGGCAAGCCATCGCATTGATTTGTTGCAGAAGGCACGAACACCACATTTGATGGGTTGCCGAAGGCATGATACCGCATTTGATTGTTTTTGAACTACAAAGACAATTCAACGACACTTGCCAGAATTTAAATGATGCATTGATATGTACATTCCTCACAACCAGCCTGACATTCTTTTGGCCACAGTGAATCAATTGAATGGTAGACGCGACAGAGTTGCCACTAACAATTTTTTCCCCTACCAATTTTCTTCCCAAATCCGACCAAAATCGTTTAAAACTTACCAAATAAACTTCAGTTACAAAAAAGCATTCTCAAAGCATACAATCCACACACAAGTTTTTCCCTACCAATTTTCTTCCCAAATCCGACCAAAATCGTTTAAAAGTTACCAAATAAACTTCAATTACAAAAAAGCATTCTCAAAGCATACAATTCATTTGTTTAAGATTAACTGTTTCGAATACAAAACATTTACATAAATACATATACATATGTACTTTTAAAACCACAGCTGACCACACTTGGTGTGGGTAATTTTTGTTTAAAACTTCCTTGCAGAAAGCGTTAAAAATTTGCGTTCTGCAGCCGCAGAGCTATGTGGTAATGAAATTATATTAAAAACAAAATTGGCGATATGCATGAAGCTATTTTCATTAATTCCATTTTTAATAGAATCAACTTTTAAATAATAAACATATCAATATCCAGATCGATAAATTATTGAGAGATACAGATACTACGTTTATACGCATGCATAAAGTTGCTTGCAGTCACCGACGTGTACGTCTGCCGTGTATGTTTGACGTAGCAACATATAAAATTTACTGTTGATAGAGAGAGAGAAGCAGTACACGTCACGCGTCACCATCGTACATACGCGATGGTGAATTTTCATTTACATGGCGCTCTCATAAGTTTGATCGCGTCAGCTGACACGTTAACGTACGTAAAGGTGCTAGCAGTCACCGACGTGTACGTCTGCTGTGTGTGTTTGATGAAGCAACTTATAAAATTGACTGTTGATAGAGAGAGAGAAGCAGTACACGTCACGCGTCACCATCGTACATACGCGATGGTGAATTTTTATTTACATGGCGCTCTCATAAGTTTGATCGCGTCAGCTGACACGTTAACGTACGTTTACGTACGTGTGCGTTAGGAATGTTAATCCCGGGATCCCGGCCTTTTTAGGTCCCGATAATCCCGGGATTATTGGCAAATAATCCTGGGATTTTCGGGATTTGTAATTTGAAATGATGGCAATAATGGAAATTCCTTTTCTTGACCAGTATTGGCTTTATTTCTTTTTTTTTAATTTAATAATTAATATTTTGTTATAAATGTCTAGCTCATTATACATATAAATAGGAAATTTTACACTCAAAAATCAATATATTCTCGAAACCATAGGCCAAATATAGTAAAATTGCGTTTTAAGTTTTTCACTCTGATGTCAGTAATTCAAAAATTATTTAAAAATCCTGTAGAATTTAAACAGATTAAATTTTTGTGCATAAGTACTGGTAAGTACTGAAAATGTCCTTTTAAAATTTTATCCTTGAAATTTCGCAATATTTGTTTTTGGAAAAATTATATGTTAAGGACTTATATAAACTCGATAACATCGTCCTTCTAACTTTATCAGCTTAAAAAAATAAATATTCGTCCTAGTAAATCCAAAAATTTTTATCTTTTTAAATTGTAAAGAAATTTCCTCTTTCATTTGGTACTAGGGTTGCCAACATATTCTAAGAAGTGTATATTACTTTAAACAAAAATGTGGAAAAATATAGTCCACTTCAAATATATATAGTATTTTTTTAAAGAAAAAGATAAAATGCTTTTTAAGTGTACATCTTTTTTCTGTGTTATGCCTTTCCTCTATAAAAAACATAATTCATTGAAAGTATCATATGCTTTATCGCAATCAATATTTAAATTAATATTTAAATTAATATAAGTCAAAAGTTAATTTTTTATTAGTGAGATATACTACGTTTATACGCACGTATTATTTGCAAATAACAATTTGCTAAATGAAAGACTTTGCCGTATAAACGCTGAGTTAATTTTTTATTTATAATAGATTGGCGCTTACACATATGTTAGTGTTTGGCCGAGCTTCTCCTCCGATTTGTGGCGGGCGCCTTGATGTTGTCACACAAAGCGGAGGGACCTACAGTTTTACGCCGACTCCGAACGGCGATTGTATTTTTATGAGAAGCTGTTTTTCATGGCAGAAATACACTCGTAGGTTTGCCATTGCCTGCCGAGGGACGACCGCTGTTAAGAAAAAACCTTTTTCTATATATTTTGCGATGTTGCTTTGACCAGGGCTTGAACCCAGGTGCTGATGAGTGAAAGCGCGCACTGCTTACCATTATTTTATTTGCAAATAACTAAATCATGCAAATAAGTATTGATTAGTGGTACTATTTGCAAATAAGCGCAAGACGCCGCCATTCTTAGGTTTATTTTCTTTTTCAATGGTCATCTTATTGCCTTTTTATAATCAAGGCGTTGCCATTTTTAACTTTATTTTCTTCTTCGATGGTCATATTATTGCCTTTTTATAATCAGGCAATATTAAAAAAGAATTTTTCTCCATCGAATAAACAGTGAGTTAGGTATTTGCAAATTATTTTTATTTGCAAATAGCTTACGTATAAACGTAGTAATAGTCGCTTTATTTCTCACATCTCACCATTTCACAATCATAATAGAAGAAACTCTTTCTGTGAATGCTGAAGTTGCAGAAATAGAGAGCAAAAGCGATATAATTTTAAGTAAATTTGGTAAATCTTCCTAAGTATTTTAAAAAATGTTGCCATTTTTGATCTATGGAGCCTTTGTTTTAAATGTTTTAAAGTATATTTCTTTTAATATTGGTATTTCAGTATAAATGTCATCAATGTGAAAACATTTCTTTCTTACAAATTACAGAAATATATTTATATTTATAATTGAAGAAATATAGTATTTTTGCATACTATAGTTTTTTCCAACAGTATATAGTACGCAGACCCAAAAAAAGTACAATACTATATATTATAGTACGGTTGGCAACCTTACTCGTAAGTCCAACTCTAGCTCTGATCTGTAGAATTTTTAAGAAAAACAGTCAAAGTTAACGTGTATTTTATATGGGAAATCTTTGCATGCCTTGGGCGAGTACTTAATGTTAATGTTGGGGTCTAAAATTTTCAGGGAGTTTTTTAGGTGCTTTCCATAAATTTTCGAGGTAGGAGCGAAAAAAACAATAGCCGCAAAAAAAGCACCCTAATCCACATCAATAATTCCACGAAATCTGATACATAAGTATCGCATTTTATTAGACATTATTTATATTCTCTTTCAACATACGCACATGCCTATATGTATGTACATACATACGACCACCAATTAATTTAATTTAAAAAAATGGCGTGTCGTGTGTCGTCCATTTCCGCTGTAGCGTATGTAGTGCATATTTTTAGGCGCAATATTTAACTACTTCCGGCTAGGCGACATCTACCCCTAGGGTCTAATGTTCTTTGATATGATACCTACCGACGAGGTTGATGTCTAGACTTTTATAGCTATAAATGGTGTCTGGACACACAACATTGCAAGTTGATAAAAGTGTTGTAAAAATGATATCAATATTGACGTCGAAAACCATAATAAGGCCGAATATTATTTTCAAAAACTCAAAACAAATTTTTATTATTTCACCAAGAAACTTAGTTTTAAACTTGTTGAATTGTGTATGTATACTAGGGTGGTCCTTAAATATAGGAAGCAAATTTTTACATCAGATCACATTTAAATTTTGGTTCCGATTGGAGACGGTTAACCCTTCGTCTGACACATGAGCCCAGCCAGGCCTTTTCCATTTT